TTCACACTCATGATTATGTGGATTCCAATGAAATCTGAGAAAAAAATCTGAGTCTAAGTCCACCATCCTCAATGGAATAGAATTCTATCTCCATTAAAAAACAATTCAAAATCCACCCACCTAGTCAAATTTCCAGCATCATTTATTTCTCTCTTGGATGCAATTAACCACAAGAATAAAAATTCAGCTAGCGAATATGTAAAATAAAAAATAATTTTTTACTCTATCATCTAGAATATAAATTCAGCACATTCGAGAACATTTATTTTTCTAAATATAATAATGCAAGTTAACCATGATCCATAAAAGAAACTCACTTTGTTAGAACATTCGAGAACATCCTCATTTATTTTTCTAAATATAATATTTGGAATGCAAGTACCACAATAAAAATCATAAAATGCAGCATTGTCTGGTCCATTCACTTTTATAAAAGAAACCCTCACAACATTATATACATTGGCAGCATTCATAATATAACTATAATACATAAATCAGAAATCAGCTCCAACATATACTTTATCTAGAATAAAAATTCAGCACATTCGAGGAACTTAACTGTATTTTTGAATATGTCTGGTCTGTAACATATAAAATCCTGGTCCATCCACCTTTATAAAAGAAACCCTCACAACTTTGTATTGCATTCATAATATACAGCATTCAAAATATAAATATAATACATAAATCAGAAATCAGCTCCAACATATACTTTATCTAGAATAAAAATTCAGCACATTCGAGGAACTTATAAGTATATAAAATTCTGGTCCATCCACCTTTATAAAAGAAACCTCACAATTTGTATACATGGCAGCATTCATAATATAACTATAAAACATAAATTAGAAATTAGGTCCAAAATTGTAAATTGTTGCTTGGTCGATAGGATTCTGATTTCTTCTATTTCATTCCCTATTCATAAATCAGGTCCCAAATTGTTCTCCTTCAAATGCTGTAGGTTAGGGGGCAGGGAAAAACACTTTTATTTGAGTTGCAGGCTGCACTTTTCAGTCATCGTTTGTATGGCTGTAACAAACACCTGTGCAAAATTTCATGCCATTTCATGCATACTTACCCTGCCGCATCGCGAACGACTTTTTGTCAACTTTTAGTGTATACCAAAAATTAGATGTCATTTAATGTTTTCCAGGATAATGATAAATTTTACATGGGTGACATCGATTTAATTCACATGTTATCTTACAGGTACACCGTATAGAAAATCATTACGAATTCATATTGAAATTCTTTTTTGTGCGGAACCTTGGCATCATTTTCCTAGACAATAATCTTTGCCTAATATATCCATCTCTCGATTCGTATCCCGTCACTTCAGTGCAAGCTTCAGTCATCACTTTTATGCCTCTCTCGACCACCTGAGTGCTGTTTGGCCACTTGGGCACCACTAATGGTGTCTCAAGAATGTCATTAACCTGTAGATTTGACAGAGAAGCAATGTAAGGAGGCTCAGTCTTGAGTTCATTCCTCCAGTTAATCATGGAATGATAGTTTTTTGCTTGCCACTTTAGTTTCGGAGTCACCACCTTTCTCATGTTGACTACAGGAGGCACATCCTCATTCCCATCTCCATCTTTACCCTCCTCATCAGTACAGTTTAACAAATTCTCGTCAACAGCAGCATCAGAATCTTCCTCCTCCTCTTCAGATCTGCCAGTGCATTCTTCCTTTTGCTGATTCTCCTCTCTAATTTTTCTTATTATTGAGACAGCTTTTTCTCTAACAGTCATGTCCTCATCTGCACACATACCAAGAAGAAGTTGATCTGTGTGGGCGAAGTATGCATTTCTCTGGACAGCCTTCTTCACTATCGTCTCCTCCTTACTATTCAGGTGTTTCATATATAGCAGGGACTGGAATACGTTCCTTGAGCCGTGTGTTACGTAAGGGTGTATCTTGATGTAAAACCACATTGGAGCACTGAACTTTATTATTGTAATGACAATTCTTTTCAACTCATGGCTGGGTCTTGATGTTGCTACATACAGCCTGAGGATTCTACTCCATAAGGTGTTCCACCTTGACACACAGGGAGGACCTGGCTCAATAGCAGCCAAGTCATCTTCAACAACACCTGTGATAACTCCTTTACAAATCCTATACAGGTATTTCTGATCCCAGGACAGATCTTTCTCCACTTCATCATTAAACACAGGGAAATCAGGGAAACTGACTGGCTGGAAGGCGACAACTGGAAGCTCAGACAAAGACTCCTTGATCTGCTTTCCAATGGGACCACGCCAATGCTCAGGACCACTTGGTTTACCATCATAGTGATAAAAAACTGCGCGGAAAGGCAGCTCATTTCCGTGAAGCTGACATATGAAATAATGGAGCGGGTGACCAAGTAACATTTCAAGATGATGAATGACTCCATTTTCTGATCCTACATTTACATTGGTTCCATCACAACCAACACACACAATGGGCTGCTGGGTTAGATTTTTCTCCACCAGAAACTCGTGAATAGTTTTGGCAATCTGCTTTCCGTGTCCAGTCTTGGGAGTCACATGTGTGAGATATTCATTGCCAGGCTCAACCATGATGACATAATGATCTTTCACCATCATCCTCGAACTCCATTTCTCGGTCTTCTCATTCTTTATCATCACACGAGTGGCGGTCTTCTTACCATCAAAATAGAGTGACGTCAAATTATCTAAACTAGCCATCTCAATTTCTTGCCTCTTAAATCGGTATTTTTGTCTCGCATCCCGCAGCTTATGTGGTCCAATAACCTGACTCTTGTCATCCTTTGTGATAATGCCATAGTCAGTTAAGGTGGCAGTAGCAATGGCAGCTCCAGCATAATCACTAATCAAGTATCGGTCACAAGCGGCAGCCAGTGTAGGGAGTCTTGTCCGGTTCTGTGAACTGGTGTCTGTCAGAGCCCTTGGATCAGGGACAAAATCAGCATCAGTATTGACGAGAGGAATATCTCTTGAATCATCTGAATTATCCTCAACATAAGGAATATCTCCAGCTACCAGATATCTATGTTTTTGCTCAAGCTGTCTCCTAACTCTGTCCGCATCATGCTTCTCTCTTGCCGTCACTCTGAGAAAAGGCTGATAATCAATATAGACATAGCACCATACTCATCTGCAACAAGACAACTTAAATGAAATAAGAGATATGAAAAAAAAGTTGATAAACACTGAACAGAACATTGCACCGCCACAGCGGCTGTTTGGCTAGTACTGTAGGTAAATTTAAAAATTTCAGTAGAAAATGCGGCAGACTAAACCTCGACATATCAGCTTCAAATTTGGCATGGAGTCTTAGATATGTATAAGGAACAATGCCTGAAGAGTGCAGCTTTGAGCAAAATTTCACTGCCCCCTACTGTAGGTATCCAAATTGTTGTTGTGTTATCCAAATTGTTGGTTGTTGCTGGGTGATGGGTTATTCTGTATAAAAATAAAAAATACATAAATTTTATAGTTTTAATGGATGATGTAAATATAAATTATCAATTGAATCTGTATGCAAACATATCATGTCACCCATACTCTTCTGACACTTACCCTACACTTAGTCTGATTCTGATGTCTTCTTAAGCTTCCCGGTAAATTAAATTCCTTATTACATATATTACACTTGAATGTGTTTTCATAATTTTTCGTTATATGAGTGTTAATGTGATATTTTAAGTTCTTTTTGTTGATCATCTTGTCGCATATATTACAGCGAATATGAACCTGATTGTCGGTATTCAGAGAGTCTTGTGTGGCCATGTGGGTAATCAAACTATTTTCCCGACAAAATTCCTTATTACATCTCTCACAATTAAAGGGTTTCTCCTCAACATGAGAGAACATATGTTTGTAGAGCGGAAATTTTTGGGTGAAGTTCTTGTTGCATATATTGCAGCTATAGTTTCTGAAGTGCTGGATTCGGTGTTTGGCAAGGCTGTTCTTAGTATATAATCGCTTGTCACATAACTCACATTTAAATGTTTTTTCTGAACTATGGAGAAACTGATGATCGCGAAGGTTGCTTGACCTACTTAATTTCTTGCCACATATATTACAGATAAAAAACTTCTTCTTCTTCAATTGCTGATCCATAATCTACCATTCAGTATAAGTCAAGGTAGAGTAACTACATTTGGATCGGTCGAGCTGGGTGTTTCCACTTCGGTTGAGCTGGGTGTTTCCACTTACAACTTTTTGGATGGTCTGTCTTAGTTATATAGGCTACGGAGGCACAGGTACACACACACACACACACACACACACACACACACATACACACAAGGTGGATGGGTTGATAAGACCCTTGAGGGCGGATCCCTTTTGAGGGTGATGCACTGATGAGAGAGCCGCCCACTTGAGGGCGGTGCACTGATGAGAGCAAAATTATGACTACTACTTTCAGGGAAAACATTTTGCGAAGGCTTTTCTGCTGCTTTACTGTGCTGTTGGCTATTATCTAGTTTTCTGAGGATTACTCTGAATTGGCCTGTATGTATCTACAAACAACTTATGTTGGACTTTGTTTTAATATGAGTTACAAGCTTTTCCATTGTCCTCCACTCTAATGGTAATGATAATATTGACAAATCAAGCAATTCAATGTTAGGTGGTGGGTGGTTATGGAATATTGATTGTTGTTTTTTTACTATTTCTATTCTACTGTCGCAGTCGTTACATTTCCATGTTGTTGATGTTGAAGATGATCTACAATATATATGGCCTTGCATGCATATATTATTTTTGCCTGCCTCCTTAAATATTATTTCTTCACTGTCAATACTGATTATGAAATCTAGCATATAAAATTCGGACTCGGATATTTCGAAGTCTAAATTGATGTCAGAAGACAATTCAGAAGGTTTGGAAAAGTAGTAATAAATAGTCTTCTCCTTCTCTTCTTTCTCTTCCAACTCATCATCATCATCATCATCATCATCATCATCATCATCATCCAACTCATCATCATCATCATCTAACTCATCATCATCATTATCATCCAACTGATCATCATCATCACACTCTGTAACCACAATTACGTAGCTTCTTCTCTTCTTTTCTAACTCAGTATCAAATAGCTTCTCTTTTTCTCTTTCTCTAAATTCAGCATTTAAAACCTGCAACGTTTTCCTCAACTCAGTCAACTGAGAAAACTCATCTTTCAACTTAGCTTTCAACTCATCCAACTCAACCTCCTGACCTTTCAATTTAGCTTTCAATTCATCCAACTCGGCCAAATTGAAATTCAATTTTGCCAACTCACCATCAAGTTGCCTTTTCTTTCTTTCTTCTTCTTCTCATCAACTAATCTTTTTTCTTCCTCTTTCAACACAAGTAGTTTCTTCTCACCTTCCAACTCAGCAAACTCAGCTTTCAACTTGTCCAATTCAGCATCAAATTGTTCTTTTTTCTCATCAAGTAGCCTCTTCTTTTTTTTTTCTTTCTTTCAACACAAGTAGCTTCTTCTCACCTTCCAACTTAGCTTTTCAACTCAGCCAACTCGCCGACTCAGCTTTCAACACAGCATCAAGTAGCTGTAGCTTCTTTTTCTCTCCTTCATCAAAGGGTTGACTACCATAGTGTTCCTGCTTCAATTGCTGATCCATATTTTCCCGTTGTTGGTTGCAGTATAAAGTCAAGGTAGGAGTAACGAACGAGTAACTACTCTGGATGGAGCAAGCTATTAACAAACAAACTTTTCTGGTATAGGCTTGGTTTTATAGGCTACGGAGACACAGGGACCCTTGAGGGGAGTGGGGGTGGGGGGATCGATGGATGAGTCAGGGTCCCAGTTAATTTTCAAAGTATTTCCAACTACTTTTCTTACTGAAACTAATCTTGCTACTTGCTACCTTCTACCTTCCTATTCCTCTATTATCTTACAGGGAAAACGTTTTCTGCTGCTGCTTAATATGAGTTACAAGCTTTTCCATCGTTCTTAACTCTGATGGTAATGTTGTACCCTCCAATTTAATGCGAGATGATAGGTGGTTATGGAATATTGATTGTTGTTTTTTTAATATTTCTATTTTACTTGTTGCAGTAGCTACATTTCCATCTTGTAGAAGAAGAATTTATTCTATTATATACATAGCCCCGTGTGTATATGCCATTTTTGCCTGCCTTCTCATATTTTTTTCTCCTCTTTTAATACAGATTATGAAATCTGACATGAAAATAAAATCATCTTTGGTGGGTACCCATTTTTGGGGGTCTGAATTTTCAGAATGAAAGTAGTAATAAATATTCTTCTCTTCTTCTTTCTTTTCTTTCTCTTTGTATTTGAGCAAATTTATAGCAAAAGCACATTTGTGGTTCCTTAAACAGTGAGGCCAGCTATATTCCTTATTACATTTCTTACACTTATAGGGCTTTCCGTAATGAGTATTTAAATGGTATTTTAAGTTTTCTTTTCTCCTGATGACGTAGTAACATATGTGACAACGAACACGGTTTTGTTGGTTTTGTTTTCTTTTGTTGACAGTCAGGGATTTGCGTTTGTTCTTGTTCTTGTTGTTTGCCATGTTACCGATAACTGCCAAGATCAGAGTATGCACGTACGCACAGATAACTGGTTGCCAAGACAAGAGAACAAAACAGCACAGACTAACAATCTAAGAACGGAATACCGACTATTTATACTGTCTAAGCTTTTGTTATAAACTCTCAAGGATGACAATAAATGTTAAGAAAAACACTAACCTTTCAAGACTAACATTTATTATATAGACACTTAGTGTTAACAAAAAACATTTTTTACAAACAAAACATAATATATTTACTAAAATGCCAAGAAAGTTATATAATGATCTTTTTTACTAATTTATTCCTGGGTATTATCAACAAAGCCTATTTCACTCCATAAATAACCATAAATTCTCTCACCAGTTTTACTTACAGTATATCCTGTACGGGGGACATGCCTAGTTTTACTTATATGCTGGAGCTGCTCCAATGTTAATGGTAGAAAGGGGGATTCCCTTTTCCTTCTCTCCAGAAGATGTAATATAATTTCTTTAGGAGTCTCAAGAAACTTTTTCTCTAGTGCCACTCTAATAAAATCTTCTTCGCATACTGCAACCGTAAGTTTCTTCAGAGATTCTAATGGACCAGAGCCATGGGAATAGGCCTTAGCAAACCTGTTTTTAAAATAAATACAAATTAGTGTTGTTGGATTACTGTATCGTATAGTATAAAAAAAACATACCCTACCTCCTAAATCATTTATCATTTCTTAATAAAAATATTATATATTAATGTAATAATATACTGTACCTGTAAATTCCTAAAACATTGGATGCATGAAGGTTCCTCCTGATGAAGTTTGTGCAAACACGTAAAACATAGTCCATGTGCATCATGTCTGCAGCAACAACTAACTCTTCGGCGTTTTCCGCTGTTACCTCAATGTCTCCTACAGATTTAAAAATAAAATTTTCATCCATCAATCAATCAATTAATAATTGTTTTACATAAGGTTAGTTATATTATATAATTATCGATATGAAAAATCAATATGTTCCGTATGTTTTCTTTATCCTTACCAGTATACATGAATGTGATTATCTGAATTAATATATTGTGTTTTATGGACTTCATTTCTATTGAAGACTGTGTTTCCTCAGCAAAACCACTCGTAAATATGGCCTGAAAATAGGGGCTTCCCGCTGAGAGTATTACACGGTGAGCCTGGAATAAAATGTTTACCAATGTGTTACCATCCAGTAAAAAAACATTAAAAACTCTGCAAACACTGTAGGTAGTGAATTGTATCAATAAATAATAGCTAGTGAGTGCATTGTATCAGTAAATACCTTCACCACTGATCCACCAGTTGATATTTCTACATCACAGAACTGTTGTGAATTCCAGAGTGTATATAAGGTATTTAGCAGTGTGTTTGGATAATATTCACACCCGTAAGAGGGTGAGGGCTTCACACATGCCGCCATCCTCATGCATTAATACCTAAAACCTAAACTAACGTAATTTATAGTGGATAGAGTTGTCAGTTTTTTTTTTTTTTTAAAGGAGTATATTGGTAACTTTTTAACGATAACGCACGCATTCGACGACTGCCTGCAAGCTTGAATTCTATTCTAGGTAAATCCAGGTGGTAAAGAATATATTTTTTTTTTCATATAAAAAGTGTATTTTTTTTTTGGTTATAAACTCTCAAGGATGACAATAAATGTTAAGAAAAACACTAACCTTTCAAGACTAACATTTATTATTTAGAGACTTAGTGTTAACAAAAAACATTTTTTACAAACAAAACATAATAGTTTCTTATTTACTAAACAACATCCAAGAAAGTTATATAATGTTCTTTTTTACTAATTTATTCCTGGGTATTATCAACAAAGTCTATTTCACTCCATAAATAATCATAACCGTTACCAGTATATCCCATACGGGGGACACGCCTAGTTTTACTTATATGCTGGAGCTGCTCCAATGTGAACGGTGCCTCTTTTTTGTAGGATCGCCTTTTCATTTCCTCCAGAAGTTCTAATATAATTTCTTTAGGAGTTTCAAGAAACTCTTTCTCCATTGCCACTTCCAAAAATTGGGCCCCGAAGAGGAACCTCATCGTAGCATACTTTAGATATCGTAATGAATCGTAGCCATGGGAATAGGCCTTAGCAAACCTGTTTTAAAATAAATACAAGTTAGTGTTTGCTGGATTACTGCCTCCTAAATCATTTATCATTTTTTAATAAAAATATTATATATTAATGTAATAACATACATATACTATATACTGCTGTACCTGTAAATTCCTAAAGCATTGGATACATGAAGTTCATTCTTGAGGAATTTTGTGCAAACACTTAAAACATAGTCCATTTGCAGCATGTCTGCAGCAACAACTAACTGTTGGGCGTTTTCCGCTGTTACCTCAATGTTTCCTACAGATTTAAAAATAAAATTTTCATCCATCAATCAATCAATTAATAATTGTTTTACATAAGGTTAGTTATATCATATAATTAGCAATATGAAAAGTCAATATTGTTCCGTATGTTTTCTTTATCCTTACCAGTATACATGAATCTGATTATCTGAATTAATATATTGTGTTTTATGGACCTCATTTCTATTGAAGACTGTGTTTCCTCAGCTAAACCACTCGTAAACATGGCCTTAAAATAGGGGCTTCCCGCTGAGAGTATTACACGGTGAGCCTGGAATAAAATGTTTACTTTACCAATGTGTTACCAGCCAGTTAAAAAAAAAAAAAAAAAATCTGCAAACACTGTAGCTAGTGAATTGTAGCTAGTGCATTGTATCAATAAATAATAGCTAGTGCATTATATCAGTAAATAATGTTTCTCACCTTCACAACTGATCCACCAGTTGATATTTCTACATCACAGAACTGTTGTGAATTCCAGAGTGTATATAAGGTATTTAGCAGTGTGTTTGGATAATATTCACACCCGTAAGAGGGCTTCACACATTCCGCCATCCTACATGCATGCATTAATACCTAAACGTAACGTAATTTATACTATCCAGAGTTGTCAGTTTTTTTTTTTGGTAAAAGGTGTATATTGTATATATTTTTATTTATTTATTTATTCATAAATTATTAAGTTTAAAGAACCAGCACAGACTAGTTATACAGAGAATACAACATTACATTTTTACAACTTAATAAAATAAAACAGATTTTTTATTTACTAGCTTTGTTCCTGGGTATGTTTTCTATTTACTAGCTTGTTCCTGGGTATTCAACAAAATATATTATGCATAGTAAATACATTAACACTGCTGCTAACTCCATTTAAAGTCAATCTTAACAAACTTTTAAAATACAGTCAAAGTTACAGATTACTGTGCCGACCGTACAGATAAACATTAAACCTGCTGCCAGACTTATTTTTTATTATTATATAGTATTTCGAGGTTGTTTTTACAGTTCTGCCTAGCGCCTAGCATTTGTAATAAAAACATCTTCCATATGTATTCAAAGTTGGTTGTCAAAACAGTAATATTAAACACTCTTCTTTAGTACTAAAGTACTTTAATATACATTTAGCACAGCTATTCCTAGCGGGTGGCCATATTTCTGAAACCAACTTTTAATTTTAAATGGCAAGTGGGTAGCTGGGGGTAGGGTCGTGAGCGTAGAGGTAATGGAGGAGTTGTAGTCACAGCAGTTCTGATCATCTATCTCCAGTTCGAAATAAGATGGCGGTGGCGTCTCAGAGCTTGCTAGGGGATCGTTGTCTGGTAGAGAGTCCTGAAGGTGAAGGAAGACGAACGAGAGTTAGCAACCCCATGGTGGAAAAGATAAGAGTTAGTAACTTAGAAATAGTGGCGAAAACATTAATAAACAAAAACAAATATATTCAGATTGGATTCGTGTTAACTTACTTGTCTGATGCTGTTGACAGTGATCGAGCGTCTTTTAATGACACGACGAATCACCATTATCGCCGTAATGACCAATACCACCAGCACCACCGAGTTGAACAGGTGACCCATCACCATTATAATATAACCATCCCTAAACATCCATGAGCCTCCACATTCATTCTGCTGCTGCTGCTGCTGCTGCTGCTGCTGCTGCTGCTGATGCTGCTGCAATTATATATTCGGGTGATAGCCCACAATTATATTGTAAAGGTGACATCAATAATTATTTTAATTGACAAGAATATTGCAATATAAACATACAGTTGTAAACCTACTTTGTGGTTCCACTTGTCAGCAGTGGAACAGTTGGGGGTGGAGGTAGTGGTGGCGACTGATGACGCAGGATGTCATGTATATCCCCAAACAGGTGAGATAGGTGACGGTCAACGAACATAATAAGCATATCACCAGCGTTGTTTTACTTTCCAGCAGTCTCGTCAACCTCATTGTCCGTCATCCATCCATTCAGGCCAATCAGTATATTAATTTTAATATGAAATTACATGAGTCACCCTAAGACTATCTTACTGTGAGCTAGCTAGGTTTAAAATGAATAAATTAGACCCGACCAGCGTGGAGGGAGTTACGATCAAATCTGGGATTGGTAACACTCATCCAGTGCTTTATATCCCTTCGTTTTAAAAAAATAAACTTACCCCCCTAACCTACACTTTGTCTCCCTCCTTAAGCTTCCCGGCCAAATGAATTCCTTATCACATATATTACACTTGGAATGTCCATATGTATTCGAAGTTGGTTGTCAAAACAGTAATAATAAAACACTCTTCTTTAGTACTTTTGAAGTACTTGAAGTATTTTAATATACATTTTACACAGCTGTTCCTAGCGGGTGGCCAAATTTCTCAAACCAATTTTTTATTTTAAATGGCAAGTGGGTAGCTGGGGTGGGGTCGTGACAGCAGTTCTGATCATCTATCTCCAGTTCGAAATAGGATGGCGGAGGCGTCTCAGAGCTTGCTAAGGTATCGTTGTCTGGTAGAGAGTCCTAAAGGTGAAGGAAGACGGACGAGAGTTAGCAACCCCATGGTAGAAAAAGATAAAGATATAGTGGCGAAAACATTAATAAATAAAAAAAATATATTCAGATTGATTCGTATTAACTTACCTGTCTGATGCTGTTAACAGTTATCGAGCGTTTTTTAATGACACGACGAATAACCATTATCGCCGTAATCACCAATAACACCAGCACCACCGAGTTGAACAGGTAACCTATCACCATTATAATATAACCATCCCTAAACGTCCATGATCCTCCACATTCATTCTGCTGCTGCTGCTGCTGCTGCTGTCATTGTAAATTACCAAAAAACAATATATATTCGGGTGATAGCCCACAGTTATATTGTCAATAAATAAAATCAAAAAAATATTTTAAGACAAGAAAATTGCAATATAAACAAACAGTTGTAAACCTACTTTGTGGTTCCACTTGTCAGCAGTGGTACAGTTGGGGATGGAGGTAGTGGTGGCGAATGATGACCTGTTGAAGCAAGATGTCATGTATATCCCCAAACAGGTGAGATAGGTGGCGACCAACGAACAACATAAGCATATATCCAGCGTTGTTTTACTTTCCAGCAGTCTCGTCAACCTCTATGTCCGTCGTCCATCCATTAAGGCCAATTAGTATATTAATTTTAAAATGAAATTACGTGATTATTTAAGTAAAAGTCACCCAAAGACTATCTTACTGTGAGCTAGCTAGGTTTAAAATGAATAAATTAGACCCGACAATCGTGGAGGGAGTTACGATCAAATCTGGGATTGGTAACACTCATCCAGTGCTTTATATCCTTTTCATTTTAAAAAAAATAAATCAATTTTAAAAAACACACTAAAACATTTAATAAAAAACAACGTTGGTTGTTGGGGGAAGAGCATCCTCCAGCTCCAATATTTCTTGTGGTATTATCAGCAAACTTATCTTCATCCTATAAAGAAAAACAAACAAAAAATAATATCCCATTCTACCACCTACAACAAAAAAATCAGGTTGATGGAGCCCCATGTTATGGGTATTATAAAACAAAACGCTTTCACTAACATTTATTAACGTTGATGAGTGTGTCGAAAAAAACATTTGTCCTAGCATTTGTAATATAGTTAAAAACATTTCCATATCAATTATACGTTTCACACTCTAGCGAGTGGCCAAATTTCTGAAACCAACTTTTAATTTTAAATAGCAAGTGGGTAGCTGGGGATGGGGTCATGAGCGTAGAGGTAATGGAGGAGTTGTAGTCACAGCAGTTCTGATCATCTATCTCCAGTTCGAAATAGGATGGCGGAGGCGTCTCAGAGCTTGCTAGGGTATCGTTGTCTGGTAGAGAGTCCTGAATGTGAAGGAAGACAGACGAGAGTTAGCAACCCCATGGTAGAAAAAGATTAAGGAGTTAGTAACTTAGAAATAGTGGCGAAAACATTAATAAACAAATACAAATATATTCAGATTGGATTCATATTAACTTACCTGTCTGATGCTGTTAACAGTGATCGAGCGTCT